AAGAATGAAACAAAAACTGATTCCAACTATAAGTTTGACATCAAGTAAAATGAGGAAGCTCTAATCTCTTAGAAAACAGGTATAAAACTACTGGATAATCCTTACATGTCACATAGATTTTCAGGTATTTTCATATAGACATTTTTCAGCTATTCCTAAAAAGTTCTGATTTCATGTATTCTTTCCCATTGTCAGATATATCAACCAAAGCCTTTGAAAACTATATCATTTTGTGTGTTCCTTATTACCATTGAAGGTAGGCAAAAAAGTTATAACTATCATTTGACAAACAGGAAAGAACTATATTTCAGAGATGTGTTAGGACTATCTATCTGACAAAGCCAGAAGAACTTCAGATTCCTGGTATAATACTTTCTCTGAGTATATTCCACCTTCTGTTGAGAGGAGTTCTTTTATGCTGGTTTGGTAGCCTCCAAAGTCACCACCAGGTAATTTAAGATGACCACAAGTTCTTTGATTTGTGAATGAAAGTTTATTAGTTAAAATCTGTTAAAACACGTAACAATAAAATGGTATGGACCAATAGCTAATAAGGACTATATTCAGTTATAATCTAATAACTAGCAGTAATCATCATACATAAGAATACAACTAAAAAATAATAAAAAATTAAAAAAGAATGCAACTTATGTAGTTACAACTTCCCACACATTTAGCCAAAGCACACAGGGATGAAGAATTAGATGCTTCCTAATTCACTGCAATCTACCAGCCTATCTCCTTAGTTTTCACACCTTAAATTTGTCTTAGAATGGTGAGCCTATCCCCCTCTCTATCCCTCCATGCCATACAAGAATTGACTTTGGTGTTGTTCTCAGGAAGATCCAGAAAAGTTTGGATAAAGGACTGGAGGGGAGACGCAGGATTCCAATCAGAGGTATCCAATCAGTGGACTGCCAAGTTAGTTAATCCATCTTCCTCTAACTGGGCTTTTAAGTGCATGACCTGTGTCAATTGCCAACCAATTATTTCTATCAATATTAACAACTTAGTGTTGTCTAATTTGCGTATGACAAAAACAAGGCTTGGTTCATAAATGTGATTAGGAACTAACTCTATACCATGGTTTTCCACCATAAACGGCTGCATAACTGTTGACAACTTGTTACTTTTCTTCTCTCTCCTAAAAATACCTTCCCTACTAGCTCTTAGTATGTTCTTACTTCCTGCACTTATTTCTTATCACTATTAACTTTACTTTTAATTCTGTTCCGTAAGAGCAAACATACTTAATACAACAATCCGTTGTTTGGAGCAAGGTAACATCTTAACAATTCAAAAACATATATAATCACACAATCAAAGCAAACATTGCAATATATTTTATCTAATCCCGAGGTGCCATTATAGTATAATCTTTCCAGGTGAACCCATCTAGCCAAGAGCATAGATAGTTCCATAGATGTTGTAGCATCTTCCCGTTTGACACCTAAGGACCATGTTGACTATTACGTGTTTTATAGGCTGGTTCAAGCTTTATCTTGTTTCAGTGTCTGGAGTAGTCTCACAGATTTCTTTTGATGTATTTTGATGACCTGCTTGAGGAGGTATGGTTGATTGTGTTCTCTCATTACTACTAACAATTTTTAACAAGCTCACTAATCTGTTGTGGAATTGTTATGAAGTCCATATTCTAGAGTTCTACTTGGAAGAATAGCTACCCTTCAGTATCCATCTTATTTGAGGTGTACCAGATCTTTCCATTTATAGTTAAATTGCTCATCAAAGAGAATTCATAGCAGATTGATGTTCTCTCCTTGGATGTTTCCTGATCTTGCACAAGTATTTATGCCTTGAGTTTCATTTTGACACAAAGTTACAGCCCAATTTCCTGAAGTCCAAATTTCTAGTGGAGAGTGTATATCTTCCCTGTTTCTAAACCTTTAATTAAAGCATATATTCTATCTTTTAACTTTTATCCAGTTACTCTGTTATTCTTCTTCTTGGTTGCTACATATATAGATTTCCTTATTTAACTCTAATCACTATTTTTCCTTATAAAACTGCTCCTATTGGAATGGTGGGATAAATGGTTACTTCTTGTTTTCCCACTGCTCTATTTAGGTTAATTGGCATAGTTCCTTTGCACCGCATCTATTATTTACCACTTTGGACACAGTGTATAGAGTGGCCTACCCTGGGCAAGTAAGGCTCAGTTTGTCCAGTTACTGCAGCAGTAAAGTCCCTCAATCTGCTGTCTGGTATGGCTTGTAATTATCCACAGTAGTTGCTCGTAATATAACTTTTATTTCTCCTCTTTGTGTCTTTGTTCACCCCTCTAAGTCTCCTGGATCCTCACCTACTCTATCAATCTTCCCACGTAGCAGTGTACTGTGAAACTTTCTCATACTAATATTTTTCAGTAGCTCCATAAGTTCTTCTGATTTTCAAAATGGTCTCTAAAAATACAACAAACTAGTGAATATAAAAAAACAGAAGCAGACTCACAGATATAGAGTGGTTACCAGTGGGGAGATGGGAGAGGGAAGGGGCAAGATAGGGGTAGAAGAGTAAGAGGTACAAACCATTAGGTGTAAAATAAGCTACAAGGATATATTGTACAGCACAGGGAATATAGCCAATATTTTATAATATCTATAAATGGAGTATAACCTTTAAAAATTGGCAATCACTATATTGTATACCTGTAACATATAATATTGTACAGCAACTATATTTCAATTTTAAAAACATTTTTAAGAGTCTGTGTAAAAAAAAAAAGTAAAAAAAAAAGAGTCTGTAGCTTTTCTTGATACAGCAATCTTTTTTTAACTTTTATTGAAGTATAGTTGCTTTACAATGTTGTGTTAGTTTCTGGTGTACAGCAAACTGATTCAGTAATACATATATATTCTTTTTCATTACAGGTCATTACAAGATATTGAATATACTTCTCCGTCCTATACAGTAGGACCTTGTTGATTATCAATTTTATATACAGTAGTTTGTATCTGCTAATCCCAAACTCCTAATTTATCCCTCCCCCACCCTCTTTCCCCTTTGGTAACCATAAATTTGTTTCCTATGTCTGTGAGTCTGTTTCTGTTTTGTAAATAAGTTCATTTGTATCATTTTTTTCAGATTCCACATATAAGCGATATCATATGACATTGGTCTTTCTCTGGCTTACTTCACTTAGAGTGATAATCTCTAGGTCCGTCCATTTTGCTGCAAATGGCATCATTTCATTCTTTTTTATGGCTGAGTAGTATTTCATTGTGTGTGTGTGTGTGTGTGTATGTGTGTGTGTGTGTGTGTGTGTGTGTGTGTGTATATATATATATATATATATACCACATCTTCTTTATTCATTCATCTGTCGATGGGCATTTAGGTTGCTTCCATGCCTTGGCTATTAACTATCTCTTTCTTAAATTTGTTAAATAAACTTATCCTGAAATTCAGTGGCAAAACTGACTTATGTTTCTCCTGCTACTGCTCATCCAAATAAGACCTGGTTATATAGTCTATAATTTTCCCCATTTACCTTTAAAGGTAGCTGATAATCTGTGTATGCAGCGCTCACTTAGTATTAGATGCAGCATCTGTCATGTTGGTTAGCTCTGAAGCCATCTGTATTAAAAGTCTTTTTAATCCCTTTGACTATAATATACTTTAGGACTCTATGTGAATTGGTATAATCTGGTTTCCCATGAATGTGGATTGACTTCTACATGTCATTTCTTCACAATTTTCATATATCACTTTGTCTAATGGTATACTTCTATGTCTTTACCTAGTTGTTGCCCATATTGTAAGATGCAAAGGCCATTCTCTAGGAAGAAGGACCGTAATGTCCACAGGCTTGTATGAAAGGTAGCTATTCTTCCAAATGGAAGTAAGGGTACCCTATGGCATGCAATTAGTATGATCAGTGAATTTCCTGAATGTGTATTTAGTCCCTCTCTGTTTTGATATGGGGGTCTTCCAACTATTGCATTTCCCCCCTCTGGTAGCTGTAGAATTACTGTGGGTATAACCAGTCCACATTTTGTTTAAAATCATTATTGCTCCCATTGCTCAGTAGTAAAGATTTCTGTCAAGGTTGAAGCAGTTTCCCTTATAATAAGCCTATCAGCTATTCTTTATAAACGTAGTTATACCAAAGAAGGTGTACTTTATCTGCTTCTACTTGTGGACCATCATCTCTAAGCCTATGCCATAAGTGTTTGACCTTTCCATAGGCAAATAGTCCTTGTTAGGGCTTTGTCTAGCCCTTCTAGTACTAGTACTTCTCTCCGGTTGTTATTTGGTGTAACTTGCCATTTCCATTTGAGTAACAATGTTGCAGAGTACTTGTGATATGGGTCAGCATCTGAGGGAACAGTCCTGCATTGGAACTTCTTGGCCTCAGCTTTTTCAAAGGTTTCTCCCTGGCAAAAGTTATCTGTAAAGCTTTCTTCAGTTTTATTATCTGGTAGATGGCTGCTTTTTAGAATTATTTCCCACAGTCTGCTATAGCATCCTTTGGCTGACACATTCTGTCCGAAAGGCCTAGTAAGTAGTTCTATCTTTTCAAGTAAAAGTGCCCCAGTATTGTCCTATTAATGTGAATGTATTCACTATACTGCCATCCTGGAGGATATTCCCCTTTTAGTTTCCACTCATTGTAGAATGGTGAAATTGGGTCCCAAGATGTGATAGAGTTCATCAGGTCTTCACCCTATTGTTAGGTAAGGAGTTTCTTTTCTTTGCTAGTGTTTGCTCCTATTATCAGGAATCCTAACAGGAGAACAAGTACAGGTAAAGAAAGAACCCTACTGCTAAAGTCAGAGCTTTTCGTATAAATAAATACAAAGAAGAAAAGAGACCAGCCTCTGCCAGAAGCAAATCAAATAGTGCTTGTTCTATAATAGATTAGTAATGAAACTGTGCAGAACTAGGAGAAAAACTGTTATTGCTAACATTCAGAAAAATTAGAATATATTTGACACAGAGAAATGATCAGTTTTCACATGCTGGTGGAGGCAAATGAGGTTTTATCTACTTGAGTCATTGTTAATAGTAGAGAGTACTTCTTCATATAATTCTACGTCTAACATAGGTTGATCTGTATCAAAGGTTAAGTCTTCATCTTCTCTTTGTGTAAGTATCGATTCTAAGTCTGGGAGATCAGCAAGGTCTGGTAGTGAAGCTTCCTCGGAAAGAGGTGCATCTCTTTCTATCTGTTCTGCTCTGTCATCTTGCTCTTCACAAGGAACTGGTTCTTGTGAAATCAACCGTAGAAGCTCTTCAGCTATTCTAATTAACTGGGCTACACAATCAACAAGTCCACCAACTAGTACAGGGGTTGACACAGACTCCATTCCTCTGTGCTTTCCTCAGTAGATAAAATATTACTAAAAGTTGTAGTAAATGGGCTCTTGGTGACAATGGATCCTATGGGGCTGGCAATGGTTCTGTGGTTGGTTTGGTTGAGAAATGAGGCTGTTGATATGATGATGATGATGATCAAGTACAGAATGAGGCCAGTGGTCCTACAGTACTTTTTGATAAATTTGGTGAACCTTCCACAAAATTTACATGTGGTTCTCTTGTTTGTGTTGGTAGTGAACTGCTATTATAATGACCATCAGACAGATTGCCACAGCCAAGAGAAAACAGAAAAGCAGATCTAATAATAGAAAAGAGAAATATAAAGTTAGTATCCTTGAGCCTTTCTCCATCATACAGTTTCTGGCTATAGGATAACGTTGAAAATGTACCCCTAGCTATTGCTCCTCGTTTTTTTCTTTTTTCTTTTCTTTTTTCAGTACGCGGGCCTCTCACTGTTGTGGCCTCTCCCGTTGTGGAACACAGGCTCCGGACGCGCAGGCTCAGCAGCCATGGCTCACAGGCCCAGCTGCTCCGCGGCATGTGGGATACTCCCCGACCGGGGCACGAACCCACGTCCCCTGCATCGGCAGGCGGACTCTCAACCACTGCGCCACCAGGGAAGCCCTGCTCCTCGTTTTTTGATGGCCTTATGAGGCTCTACTACTCATAGTCCCCTTTACACTTCTCATGGTCTTTACCTCTTACGGGATTTGAGAACAAAGTGAACATAGGTAGTTTGTCTATCTTTCTTGAACATCTCTATTGAGGAGGATACATACACTCAGAGTCTTTCAATTAATCCTGTTTTATTAGTACCTTTGCCTCATTTCCATTTATATCTGGTGCTGCTAAGTTCTTTCTGTGTTTTTAATAATTCATTCGTTAAAGTTTCCGATTGCCCCTGCAGTCTGGGGAATTTATGGTAAATGAAAGTCCCACATTCTCTGTCTTTTCCCAAACTTTATATAACTTCTGTTATAAAATTAGTTCTTTGGTCATTTCCTATCACTGCCAATATTCCATATCTAGCAGCTATTTCTCCTAAATTTGCCTAAAGCCATGGTCATACTATTCTCATCTGTATGTCTGTGTGCTCTACAAGCCCTATTCCTAAGTTTATACCTCTTTAAGGTAATATTCCTTGTTTAAAAACCTAGAGAATGGCCCAATATAATCTACCTATCACATTTGTCTGGTTTACCATCCCCCGTTCCCCTTAAAAATGAGTTTGTTGAGGCTTCAAGTTTTTAGTAATTCAACATAGCTCATACTGCTTACTCGTTTCTTTGATTCATAGTTTTTTTTGTCCACTCTTTCTCCTCTGCTTACCTAGAATATTCATGTCCACATGCCCTGAGCTTTCACATGCCCAATCTGCAACCTTAAATTGAACTGAAAAGGGACCTGAGTTGAGACTTGGAGTTCCCAAGACTGCAGAGTCTGTATTAGTTTTGGCGGGGGTCAGATTGTCTCCTCTCTTTTTCTAAACAGATTATTCTTTCTTTCCACTCTGATGAGCTGGTACATGTCCTACATGAATTGCTAAATTCCTTTCATTGATTTCTTTTCATATCTCCCTTCACCAGATTGTTTTCTCCTGCAGTAGGACAGTCTGTAATTTTCTATTTATTAGAATATATATCTCAAGTCCACAGCTGATTAGTGTAGCTATGTTCTTTTGGCCAGTTGCTTCCTTGGGCATATATACACATTAAATTTCTAGCTACCAGTCCTGCAAATTGAGCTGGTTTCCTCTCTCCAGCCTCAGTCAAGTTTTTCCCAGTGGAGAGTATTAGGAAGCAACCATCCACCTCCCTCTTTTAGGATACTGCCAAATCTATCTTTGCCCTGTTTCCAGCAGTTCTGACCAGAGTGGGGCCCAGCAAGCCACAGGCTTTACCACAGCAACTTGTACTCCTTAGGCCTTTATTGGAGTAGAGCAAATCATCCGCCAGATGGTCTGTGATTTTCACATGGAGCTTGCTAGTTTCCACAGGGTATGGTTTGACCCACTCAGTTATATACTGTCTTCACCTAGCATAAGTCCTATCAGAACCTCACTTTTTTTTTTTTGCCCAAAATCCTGACAGTAGACATGGGGTTTGCCCTGATGACAAGGGTCCTAACCATAATAACCAGAAAGCATGATTTTGGTTGGAGGCAACTTCCATCTGAAATATGGGAGAATCGGTACTAGATGCATGGCAGTTTATTAACTCACAGGATCTCTGTTTTTGATTAGAGAAAAAGCAATCTAGTGGAAGGAAATAATGGTAAAAAATCATGAGAGGAATTTGGCATTAATGTAGAGCATGAATCAGCTCATCAGAAGAAAGACACAGAAGTAAGGTTTGTGTTAAATAGTAGTAGAGAGCACCATCAAACTTTTCAAAGGAAGCAATAAACTACTACAGTGCCCATAGCCCAAGGGCACAAGAGGGTAATAGGAACATACTCACACAAAACCTATTTAACTTCTGGCTTCCCTTTCACCCAGTTTCTTTTCTCAGCTTCTCTACCTCCCTCTAGGACTCTGTTATTAGTCTTCTTTGTCAATACACCTCCATTTATTCACCTATGTGTTTCATTTTATTTCATTCTCTCTGTATCTCCATCTTCCACTACCCCTTCCCATCATCTTTTCTCCCATCTCTCCCTAAGCTGGCCAAAATTTAGAAACAAATTATAGTCCATTAATCAAATAGATGTATTTACAGAGCTTTACACGACACAATCTAAATGTAAAAAGCAGAGAGGTAGAACACTTCATATGTTGCTATCTTATAAAGACAAATGTAGTTATCTATTATTTATACAACCCTTGGTTTATTTTTTCTATCTCTTGGTCACCTTTGATGGGAAAAAAACATTCCTGACCTAGCCTTAACCCTGTTGACCACTGTGCTAGCTAATCCACAACTCCTATCTTCAAAGCATCTTGGAACCTAGGAGCTGGGGATGGGGCGAGGGCAGGGAGGGTGTTGAGAAATTAGCAAGTACTGCAGTGCTAGGAAATAGTAAGAGTATAGCATCAGCTTATTCCAGTTATGATAATTTCCAAAGCAACCAAACCCTGAACCTAAGGTGTTTGCCTAAAGGTGTATTTTGGATAGTTTGCACCTAGCCCCAACTCACCTTAAGGACCCTTTTATTAGCTGTTCCTTCTGCCTAGAATCCCTTTCCCCCAGAAAAAAAAAATGGCTTCTTGTCATTCTGGTCTCAGCTTAAATATCATCTCCTCAGATTTCAGGCCCTCCAACCTGAAAAAGCCTCTTAATCACCCCTTTCTCGTTTTGCATACAGTGCATTTTTACATTATAGCACCTATAATCACCTCATATTTTCTTGTTTATTCATTTGTTTTTCTGTCACCCCACCCCACATACATATAGACTAAAATGAAGTTCCATGAGATTAGGAAGCTTGTCTGTTTCGTTTTCTGCGGTATATCCAAGGCATAGCAGAAAGGCTGCCGCATAGTAGATAACCGGTAAGTATTGTTAAAGAAAGAAAGGAAGGGAAGAAGGGAGGGAGGAACAACTTTTAACTCTTTCATTCAGTAAATATTATCGTGTCAAATATTCATGGATAGGGCTTTCCTGGTGGCGCAGTGGTTGAGAGTCCGCCTGCCGATGCGGGGGACATGGGTTCGTGCCCGGGTCCAGGAAGATCCCACATGCCGCAGAGTGGCTGGGCCCGTGAGCCATGGCCTCTGAGCCTGCGCGTCCGGAGCCTGTGC